TGCCCGCCAGCCTTCGAAACTTGGCAAGTGCCGGCTCAACATTTGGTTTCGTTCACAGCTTTCACCCGCACGGCCGAGCCGTCACGGTAGGGTTATGAATCACTTCGCGGGGAGTGTTTGGGGATTAGTATTTCTTATTTTCTCTTTTTTTTTTTTTCCCCCCCAGCTGATTTATTTGGGGGGAGGGCAGCAGGCTGGCAAGGGGAGGAGGTTTAAAAATTCAAACTCGGGAGGTTCCTGCGAACAAAAGAGGCAGGAAAACATCATTTGGGGAGAGACTCGTTGCCAGCTTTTTCTCCCGGTCCTCCCTCTCCCGGAGAGACGATGGTTTTCCCATGGGAGGGTCCCTGCTCTGTCCTGACCAGGGCAAGGAGGAAAAGAGTAAATGTCCCCTCCCGAGCTGTCCCACGGGGCAGGCTCCAGGCGAGCTCCTCCGGAGAGACAAGCAACAGTCCCCTCTGCTGGCAAAGGCCACCCAGAGCCACCCAGAGCTGTCCCAGAGCTCTTTCCAGCCTTGCACCATCCGGGAGCTGGTGGGGCCCCCACGTCCCCCACATCTGGGAGCAGCGACAATAGGGGTCCCGGCCCCCCTTGGTACGGCAAGGGAGCGGGGTTTTCCCCCCGGGTGCCGCCGCATCCCGTCTCGGTGCCTGGCTGGTGGTGGGGGGGGATGCCCTGGCTCGGGGGTCCCTGAAGGCATCGGCTTCCCGGCTCATCTCCGGCCAGACATCCTGTCTGGCTCCCCGGCCCCGGCTCTGGTTTGGCTCTGGTTTGCCTCTCGCAGCCGGGATTGAAATACCATTAAGCAGCACAGGGAGCGCTGAGGTCGGATAATTCACCTCTGGGTCCCCGGAGCTCTGGGCAGCGGGGCGACGGAGCCCTGCTGTGCTCCTTCATCCTCCTCCTCCTCCTTGTTTCCATAGCACATCCACTCTGGAGCCGGCCGTCCCCGCCGCCTGGCTGCTCGGCTTTTCCACCAGCTCCCGATTTCCTCCTCCTGTGCCCGTGGGGCGACTGGGGGGCCC